AAGGGAAACTAAACAAAAAGATGTCTCTTTCTTCCCTCCAGATAAAAAAAGGAGGGCTGGGGGAGTGGGAGGGATGACTAGTTGTAAAGGACAGGGGACAATTCAGTGTGTGAAGAACTCACCCTCTAACAGAGGGAGTTAATGAGGGTCCCCTGCAGCCTGCCTTCTCCCGGGATTGTTCTCTGAACGCAGCTGGCCAACTTCAAAGTGAAACCCAGGGAACACCCAGCCTCTCCCAAGAAAAAGCCACCCTTGATCATATTTACAGATGAGCAGGCAGCTTCAACAGAAAAAAGACCCTTTTGATTCCAGCTCCCTGCAAGTTCTGCTTTGTGTCAAGCACGAGGAGGAGCCCAGGGGGATGCTGAGATGGGCAGCCCATCGGTGGGAGCAGGAGCACTGCCTGGCTGGGCACTGTATGGGCACAGAGCTAGGAAAAGGAAGAGTGAGCCTAGGAAAAGCAAGCACTGGGCTCAGGATGGGCTGAAGAGGATGGCTCTCAGCCCAGGGATTTACTACACTTGTCTGCATGTGAAAGCCCTGTCCACAGCAAAGGGCACTGGGTTAGGGCAGGGGTGATGCAAAGACACGTGTTGTGCTGGGGCTGGGCAGGGTAGAGGGACACCAATACCTACCTTCCAGTAGGTCTCACAGCCCACCAATTACACAGCCCAGTTCTAGCCTGCAAAACACCTTGTCAACCAAGCACTTCTTGTGAACAGACTGTGCATCTCACACTGTCACTCCTGAACACTTCATCTCTGCCTGTCGCTTCTTCGCAAATCTAACTTTATTTTTGCTGCGGGTTTTGTACCAGGGATTCTCAGCTCTGTACCTTCTCAGCCACCTCGGAGAGATCCAGGCTCTGCAGCTTTCCTGCCAGTTCATCCAGAAGGCGAGACTGCTCCTCTTGTTTAGCCTTGAACTCAGCCTCCTTCGTATTGATTAAGTCTTCCACTTGCTGCCGCGTTTGTGCCGACAGCTCCACGGCACTGTCAGGGTGAACAGTGGAGGCATTGACCCTCTCCTCTGCCTCCAGGGACATCTGGAAATACTTGGTGATACTATCCAAGGCTCCTGCAGGAATAAGATGGAGCTGGTGAGAAATCTGTTAAATAACTCAAAGTAATGTATATTGTAGATGTTAGCAGAAGAGGTGTCAAGGTTAGCAATAGATCACATCATGTTAAATGAAGCATTAGCCTTTGCTAGTGTTCAGTGGCACTCAAAGATGGCAGAATTTGGCCTCTTGTGGGAAAAAAAAAGGTTGGTTTTTTTTTTTTGTTTGGTTTTTTTGTTTTGTTTTGTTTTTTTTGCTTGGTGGACAGTGTCTCAAGCTGAATGCTGAAGCTAAGCCTTTCTCTGACCCTAGTGACTGAATTCTGCTTGCCCCAGGGGTAAAAGCAGATCCAGCCTTTTAGGATTTTTAGGGGAACAGTCTGTTTCCTAAGGATTTGCTTATCCCATTAATTCTTAATTCTTGCCCTGGGATGTCTGGCTTATGGAGTCACTGCTTGGAAACTGGTCAGAGCTTTCCCAGGAAACAACTGCTTGATGAAAGATGCTGATTTATGGAGCTGTTAGTTTTGGACCACTCCTGAAGAGGCTTTGAGTGGGTGTGAGGAACCCTGTGGGGGTGGCCATACTCTGTACCTCAGGGCAGCTTTCCTTTGCAGAATGCCAGAAGTCAGGGACTCCCCTGTTCTACATCCTCCTTGCCTCACTCTGCAAAACCCTGTGTTCACTGGAGATAATCTCAGACTTCCTGCAAACCAGGAAATTAAAAAAAAAAATCCTTTCTTTGAAGTCAGCTTTCAAAATTTCCAAATAATCTTGTGCATTCCTCTTTCTCCAGCAAATTTTCATCCTTGGAACATTTTGGTGTGCCAAAGGGCATGCAAGGCTTGGGTGGCCCAGAAGAACTGGGCACTTTTAGGGCATGCTCTTAGTCACAAAGACCTGTTTTTTTCAATCAGAAACAGCTATTTAACAGATGGGGAAGAGCAAGGGAGATATCCAGGTGTGTTTTGGAATCTGCTTGCACTTTCTACTGTTATGTCTCACTTGCAATGTATTAATCAAGAGACTTTAAGACAATTCTGTGACTCAAGAATGTGAGCCAGCCTTGCAACGTGCAGAGAGAG